CCCCCGCCCCACCCCCCCCCCCCCCCCCATATGTCCGGCTTCTTAAATAACGCTGGCGAGTGGGCGCCGCTTCTCTCCGTGTGCAAACCGGAAGTGTCCCATAACAAACCCGTCTGATCAGGCTGGTCGATTCGGGCACCCAATCCGTGTTCCGGTCACTTTCAATCGGTCGTCCATTGATTGCTCCTGGTCGTCACACTAGTACTAAACAAACACGGGGGCTCGTGGAGCAGAATTAACGACTCATAAAGTGAGCGCTGACACGGGGCAGGCAACTCTCAGCCGAGTGTTTTAGCGCCACACCGGTTATCGTTCCTTCCGCTACCCCCGCACCGAAAGGAACAGAAAAACGAGCCATGCAATAATTTGCTGTACGGGACTAGAGGGATTATTGGTTTTTAAAAAGATGCTGCCTCTAAATTGGTGATAATTTTTGTCATCAGTTGTTTAAACGGATAACATTTAAATATATATATATTAAAAGTCTAAAATGCTGACTCTGCAACTTTAAACGGCCACCAAACAATGTGTACTTATGCCACATGAAAATATGAGACGGGCAGCCTTTTTTTTTTTAAAGTGGATTTATTAATCAATTTGAATTCTCTCTTCATCAGTAAAGCTCCATCACTATCTCTCCATTCTATAATCAATATCTCTCTATTCTATAATCAATTTATCTCTATTCTATAATCATCATATCTCCATTTCATAATCACTATCTCTCCATTCTATAATCAATATCTCTCTATTCTATAATCAATATCTCTCTATTCTATAATCACCATATCTCCATTCCATAATCACTATATCTACATTCTATAATCAATATCTCTCTATTCTATAATCACCATATCTCCATTCCATAATCACTATATCTCCATTCTATAATCACTATCTCTCCATTCTATAATCAATATCTCTCTATTCTATAATCAATATCTCTCTATTCTATAATCACCATATCTCCATTCTATAATCACTATATCTCCAGCATATAATCCCCATCTCTCAATTCTATCAGCAATATCTCTTCATTATTTAATCGCTGTATCTCCAACCTATTCTATTAGAAGATTGTGTATCAATTGTGAAATCATTTAGTACAGTTCCTTATTAAAATTTAAATTAAATAAAGTGAAAATAATTCTTCCGCCCAATTTTTCAGAACTGCATACACAATCTTCGTGCCTGCCTACACAATCATCCATGCCTGCATACACAATCATCCATTCTCAAAAAAAAATTATTATTATTTTAATGTAAGCTCCCCGCCAGTGCTTGCTTATCTTTTCTTGCTTTATAAATCTCTAGAATCTGAAGATTTATAAAATAATATATATTTTTTTTTTAATAGAATGAAATTATAAGGCAACTTAGTGAATGCTTGTCTTCTCCTTTGTATGAATTTATTTGTTTGTGATTCATGTCCCTTACTTATGTGATCGATCTTATCATCTTCAGTGGACACATACCACGGCTTTCTGTTTGTACATCCACACAATGATAAATCTCGGCTGCTCTTTGACTTCAACGACAAACTGGCCGGCATACAGACTGCGGTGAGTTGGCCTTATGACTCATTGACTAACAATGAGATCACCTTTAATTTATTTTCTATATGAATTTTTTTATTTTAATTATTAAAGTCTTTTAAGCTGTATTATATTAATGATAGGCTAAAAATAGTTGAAGTATTTATGGATATATATCTTTGATGTTGCTTAGAATACAACTAATACAAAAAAAAAATAACATAGAAATTCAGGGTGGCCCAAAAAATGTGATAAACGTCGCTGTATTGTCAGACGCATAAACGAGGCGACAACGCTTACAAAAAGTCTTTGGAGAGGGGATGGGTTGGGGGGGGGTTGAACATGGTTTCTGATTGGCGTTATGATTTTTATACAACTGTTAATGACATCATATTATATTAATTCAATTATATAACCATTTGTTACGAGATAAATTCAGGGTGGCCCAAAAAATGTGATAAACGTCGCTGTATTGTCAGACGCATAAACGAGGCGACAACGCTTACAAAAAGTCTTTGGAGAGGGGATGGGTTGGGGGGGGGGGTTGAACATGGTTTCTGATTGGCGTTATGATTTTTATACAACTGTTAATGACATCATATTATATTAATTCAATTATATAACCATTTGTTACGAGATGTTCTCACTTTTTCTGGGCCACCCTGTAGAATAAATTATGTAACCTTGAAAATTGCGAGATTCTAGTTTAAAAAATTAGAAAAATGTGAAATGGCGTGTCGTATTTCTCCAGTAGATGGTGATGTATATTTACAGTAGACGGTGATGCCTAACATAATTCCAATTCTGTTTAAACAAAAACATTGTTAATTACGCCCGACATATTTCACGTGCGTTTAGATTCCTGGCAACATGGTGGGCTACAACACCAATAACGAAACAGTACGAGTTCCTACAAAGGAGGTGATCCCGCCCATCTTGCTCAGCCAGGAACAGTACAGCCCGGGTGTTCAGATGTACACCATCACAGGTCAGCCATTTTTTTTTTTTCGTTTGCCCCCCCCCCCCCCCAAAAAAAAATGAGTTTTAGTTGTGTATTTCTTGCGTTTTCATCAATTTAAAAGAATAAAAAAACAACTCATTATAATATTTTAAAATAATGCTTAATTCGTGGACTCCCGTGGTGATTTTTTAGCATGATGACGAAACGTTCATTGCTATTAAAAGTCTATGTGAGCAGTCAACACTAAAGTGACAAAAGAGGCCTGCATTTCATGGGTCGAAAAGTCCCAGGTCATTTGAATTTTTGAGGCCACAGGAAAATGTTCAAGAGACAATCTATAAATGTTTTAAAAATGTAAATTCCCTAAAAATATTTAAAAAAATAAAAAAATTTAAAAAAAATAAAAATAAAAATTGTTTAATTCATACCTGCTTCAGATAGTTAAAAATAATTTATTTGAGATTTTTATTTCTGGTCAAATTTATGTTGTCTTTTAAATTTATGTTTTAAAACTCTGTGGGTCTATTTAATGTCCATTTAATAATCATTTAACGTTCTCAACTCCCATGCAGTCGTTACACTATTGCTTTGGGGCGTACAATTTTAGAGTGGATTAATATGTGAATGAGAACATGAATTAAATTAGTTGACCTACTTGTTGATTTTGTTGAGTTCTTAAATTAGTAGCCTACTTGAACTAAATAAATAATTGCATGGGATAAGAATTTGAATTTGTCATTGTATTTTACTTGAAGTATAACTGGAATCAGCATTTGAAGGGGAATTAATTCTGGGAAATATATGCTAACTTAAATGATTATCTTTTTTTAAATAGCTGGATACTTGTATTGGTTTTCTACTTGAATGTGAATTGAATGTGAATTGAATTATCACCTGCAGTGTGACTTTTAACTATTTGAATTGGTACTTGGATTAGAACTTGAATGTTCCCTCTTTATGTTTCAGCCTACTTCAAACACCCAAGTCTGATATGTAGCCCCTACACGACGCACTCCCATTCTGGTAAAGGCCTGTACATACAGATGGGCTACCGGGTGGAGAGGCAGTATGAGAAGATACCGTTGGAGGCGCGTCATCTGTCAGACGAGTGGAAGACAGGGACCTGTCTACCCAGTATGGGTGAGTGGGGATCATAAATAATATCATAAATTTTATGAAAGATTGATTCATTGACATTTACACAAAAAAATCCTCTCTCACAGGGATATATAAAAAATCAAACGGGAGCATTTTGATGTCATTTAAACTTTAAGATTAAGACACTGATTGAAAATTTAAATTGCCTTTGAGGGTGTTTTTTTTTTTTTTTTTTCAATCCTTGCTGCTGTTGAGAGCGTTGAGCTTGTCCCCTTATTGTTGTGTAAACTTTGTAAATAAGTCACATCATCTCAGAAATGATGTCAAACTGATGGCACTGTTTACGTTGTATCCTCAGGGCGCCACTACTTTAAAAACCTCTCCAAAGAGCTGCAGTGTGAGCGGCTGTACCCGGTGTTTCTCATGTACAATGATGAGGGACAGCTGGGAGGATTCGGCTGGCTCTTCCAGGGTGTCCCGCCGTCGGAGTCGCCCCGCTCCCCGGTCAAGTGGTTTAAACATTCTGTTCAGTTTTACCCTGTGAGTCCAACATTTCATTCTTTTCAGATCAGGAAATTAAAATAACTCAAAAGGAAATGTAATGCATGATTAGTAAGGCTGATTCAGGGGCCATTGATCGAAGCTAAGTAATAAACTGAAAGAATAAATCTTATGTACAGATGACTGACTCATGGAGTTTTAATTATTTACACGACAGGAATCGAGAAATGGAAATTTTTTTTTTTCAAATAAAAGCCAACAAATTGTATTTGTTTAATTACTGGTGATCTACACCATAAATGTTACACGCTTTTTGTCAGATCCTCCAAAACATCTTATTTTTGTGAAATCCTTCTGGAAGATAAAATAAAAATTCTTAAAAACTTTATTTTATAATACTACATTTAACACTTACAAAAGTCACATGAATTTCTATGCTTAGAAGAAACTCATAATTATATCAAATTATGTCTCCAAAGTCCGTATTTGACCAGAGTCATTGTATGAAAAAGTTACCTTTGATTCATTTTTAATTTCTCCATAGGCCATCTTCGACCAAAGCATGTTGCCTCCATGTATGTTTAACCCGGAGTTCCATGTCTTTGGGATCCGAATCTACCTCCGCAATGAGCACACCATGACCTGCCCTCGACCTCAGGTGCCTGGAATCAGCGATAATATCAGTGAAGAAACAGCTGATAGTAATAAAAATGAAGAAGTGACCTTCCGACCCTTGAACCCAAGAGATCCCAACATCACCACAAGCCCCAGAGCACCAAAGTACTCTAAGCCAAATACAAACAATGTTATTGTTGATGATGTTATGAGAGGGCGAGATGGCAACAACAGTGCCTCAAAAAATATTTTTTCTCATATATTCAAATGTCTTTTATTATGTTCTATGTTCATTAATTATGTGTCCATCAGTTTTTTGACAAGTGCGTCCCACAAGTTTGTGTACCAAGACATGAGGTAGCAGGCTTTAAATAGTGTGTAAAATATGGTTTATTTATTTGCAGTGTTCAACCATCTTTATTTTAAATTCAATTCTAGTCATTATTGAAAAGAAGTTTTAATTTATGGCAGTGTTTCTCAAACTATTACTCGTAGGGTTAAGTTCAATGAAATCAGAAGCTAATTATTTATAAAAGTAGGAAAAGAAAGTATGTATTTGAAATCTTGAAGACTAGTGGGCCTATAAATCATACCTGTATACATTTAGTCTCTGGTCTTCATTTTAAGGTATTATGTGTATACTTCTATACAACATATTAAGACTTCTAAATAGTTAATAAATATTATTTTGGGATAATTATATGTAAAGTATTATTATTTATTGAAGTGAATTGTTTATTTTCAGGGGTTCTGGGAATAATAGCTTTTGTATAACTCTTCAGAGCAATCTTTAAATATAACAAATACATTATTCTGTACTAACAAATCCATCCGCTAATTTAAGGCTATAGCTATTTCCACAAACCACTTCCAGAAATACAGTTGCAAAGAAAAAGCATAGGAGCAGGTTAATTCTGCTTTTATGCAGTCTGGTACCCGTTTGGTTACAAATTCAGCAACAGTGTATGTTGGAGGTTGTATATTTTATGGGGTTGAGTCCCCTTTTTTACAAAAAAATTCTCAATGCCACAAATCCTCAACCAAAATTAATATTACATGCATCTGAAGGGAAGAGTTTGAGAAACACTGAGAGATTTTTTACATTATCAACTCTTGCTTTCTGATATCTGTTGTTAATTTATCAATGCTTCTGTGATTTGTTTTCTATATCTGACAAAATTGTTTTTTTCTTTTATGTAACAATCAGAACATATCTCATGAAATCTCATTAAATAAATGAATTCAGGATATCTAAATGTATGATCAATATAATGCCCTTGAATTCGCTATTTCACAGTAATCACATCATCTGTAGTTTTGAATATAGATTTACAAATAAATTAAGTTTTAAAACATTTATAAATGTTCATCAAATTAAATTATCATGTATAAATTTAGTTGTAAAAGCATAATCTTATCTGAGCATGTTTTGACATCAAAATGTAGGTTGTAAAGAAATCATCCATAAATTTAATGGGTTTAAGAAAATATTATTTCTCAGTGTTTGGCATTTCACTCTTAAGACATAAATCATCCATTTGATTTCCAAGTTTTCAATAGTTTTTTAATTTAAAAAATAATAAAACCTCAAGTTTCTTTTTCTTCAAATTCTCAAAAATAATTTTTGTAGCCATCTGTTGAGTATGTCCATAAAATTTAAACTAAGGTACACTATATAACTGTACACTATATAATAGTGCGCAATATATTTATAACAGCAAAAAATCATGTCAAGGGTCAGATCTTCTCATAAGTTAATATTTTCTCAGATATAAAGGGACTCTTCATCCTGATTTTTAAATCCAAATAACTGAAAAGAAATAAAGGTAGTGAACTTATTATAACTATTAACATAACTTTTTTGCTTTATTATTATGAAATACAGATTTAAGAAAGTCAATTGGAATTACTGATAAAATTGTTATTATAATTTTTTAAATTATAATTGTATGCTACTACAGATTGTAAATCTTTATAAAGTTAAAGCTGAAATTGTGCAGTATGTAAGGCAGGTTATATTACTCACATGATTTCTTATCATAATCATTGTTTAATAAAGTTTATAAGTTGGACAATACTCTTTTTTTTTTAAAATTTCTATAGTAATAGAATTTGAATCAAGGTTTCTTACTTGTACATAAAATGTATTTATTCTGCTAAATTCAAAAGGGGGAGATTTGCCACGTTCTATTAATGGATAGGTCAGTTATTGGTGAAGGATAGGTTAAGGATTAAAACAGATTTGAAATGCCATAAAATAGACTGACCCTGTAAAATGAGAAGATTGTAACATTGGACATTGTCAGACGTTACAGTAGTAGATTATTGAGGCTCATATTTAAAAAATATATTCCAAGTTAACTAATGCCCCATGTAATGATGTATTTATGTTTTTGTAATTATCACTATTGTGTTTAGTAAGAAGAAGAAATTTCATGTAAACTATGAACTTAAAACTACATGTTTGCCTTACTGTGGCTTGAAATGGAACTAAACCAAAATGAAAGGTCCTCATGTCAATGTGACCTAGTGTTGACAGCTGTCTGTGTTATTCTTTTTATTGTTTGTATAAAATATTGTTTCATTACAATTGTTTTAAAAAAAAATTTAGGCAGGTTCATTATTACAAAGCACAAATTTTAATATTTTTTTGCATAGGAAACAATAAAAATAGAGGAAATTGATCTGCATCAAAGACATTCCAAGAAGCTGGAGCACAATTGATAAGTTGCTATGCCAATGATGTGTGTGCTCGATGTAGACAAGTCTTTTCAGCTTGCATTGAATGTTCCGTAGCTTTTTTGATTGCCTTCCAATTAGAAAATTGAGTGCTCATGATAATCTAATGATAAGACAAAGTTCCTTTTTTTTTTTTCACCTGCACAAATTGGATTGGATTATTTTAACATTGAAATTTCATGCTTGATTGTTTGAACTGTATTTATTTAATAATTGTTATTTGACTACAACATTACTAATTATCATTCACATGTGCTGATCACAAATCTCTAATGTGCTAGTATTTATATGCTCTTCTTAATGCCTTTGCTGTCTGTACTGAGGTTAATTAAATTTAAAGTGGTTTTTTGGGGGGTTTTTTGAACTCATTGATTTTGATATGACTTAAAATGAAATATTTGATAAATACGGATAGGCCTATACTTTTGATACTTGGTATCATTGATATGCCAAACCATGATATCTGTAACTTTTAGTTCAATAGGAAACATGTTATTTGAGACTGATCCTTTGGTTACAATGTTTTTGCTATAATTTTTTTCTTTTTTCTTCTTTTTTTTTGTAAATATTAAGGTGCCATATTTTTCTGTCTCCAGAAGTCTGTATTGAAAAATGTAATACTCTTTAATGGCAATTTTAGTCTTTGATTCCTCTGAAACAAAAACATTTGGGTTTCCAGTTCTCTGAAAAACAAAATGATACTTGTAATTTTAGTCAAAAATAGAATAGCTACAGCCACCATGACAGCCTTGACCCCATTACTATTACTGATTTTTCTCTCCTTTTCATCTTGTTTGTTGTCCTTCTGATTCACCAAACTTCTTATGTCCAAACACAGTCATAGGTAATTGATATGTGATGCGTGGTATTTTAAATTTTAAACTTTAAGTCAGAAATGTAAATAAATGTTATATTAAGCTGCACTTATATTTTCAAACTAATTAGATTTCTGATTTATAATGAAAACTTGGATGTTCACCTTAATAAGATTAATATGGTGTCATGCATTGCAAAACACAAATAGTTTATCCAGAGCAACCATTACCATTGTGATCAAATGTGTATAGTAAGTTGTTGTTTTTTTTGGTTTATTTTAGTTGCTAAAAGCAGTTAAGGTAACTTTCAAATAATATGTCAATAAATGGACTTCTTAATATGTTTTGCCTTTGATTAAAGAATAAATAAATAAATGAACAGAAGAAGCTTACTTTAGTAATTATTGTCCAGCAACTGTTTGGAATCTTTAAAAAAAAACTTTGTGTGGAAATCCAAAACTTGGAAAACATGCGACTCCAAGAGTTAATAATTCAAGATGCTACAATCTATGTACAAAGTTGTTATTTTCATTAGTTTTGAATTTCAGATGATTGTTGTCAGCTATTTAAAATGCCTTATTATTTTTTTAAGCTGTTGTGCTTCTTATTTTCTATCAGTTTTGTGCAAAGATTTCATGATCCTATTTAATCACTGTAAACTAAGAATATTATTTTATGACGTAATGAATTTATGCCTGTCTTAATTAATCTTAAGATAAACTATGATTTATATAATTGAACTGTGCACATAATCTATTTACTAATAAAACTCTAGTCTGCATTGCTCTGAATGAAGATCATTATATTTTTAACTGGCATCTGCATTATGGAAAATCGTAGAGATTTGTTATACATTTTGTTAAACCAAAGATATACAGCCATTCTGTTTTCTGTTTATTTGGGTTGTTGTTTTTTTTAATTTCATATAATATTTAACAGACTTGCTGCTGGATTATTATTAGACAGTTCAATGGTAATTGACTTTTATAAGATGTTTTGAAAATAAAACAAACTTATATCAACTACACCTAAGTCTATCGTTTCATTGGGCACTGTTAATTTATATTAGATCTTTATATTTTTTAAAATAATCTACATATTATATGCTTTTCATGTAAATCTGTATGTAGATTGATGAAGATATAGATATATGACAACTGTACAGATATTAGCACAACAATTTACAGAATGTACATATCAAGTATATAAAGACTTGTGTGTTTGCTAGGTTCTTTTTCTGAATGACAGTAAAGGTGAAATCCATTTGAAAATTTGAAAAGCAAAAGCAAGTGTGAAAGAATCTGCTATGAGAGTAAGGGAGTTTAATTAGCCTTTCAACTCTTTAAGGTTTTAAATGCATTTAAAGTATAATGACACAACGTAGCAAAATATTTATAAATTTTTTCGCTAATTGTGAACATACTGCTTGTTAAATGTGTAAGCAGAAATCTTGAGAGTTAATGGCGATAGACCTTATTATATCTTTTCTTTGTACTTTTGTTTTAATTTCATCTGGTAGAAACTAATTTTGAAAAGAAATATAACAATTTGCCTTTTTCAATAAAATACATTCTTAAATATTTTTTAATTGAAGCAGAATTATTTTATTTTTATATGTTTCA